CCCCAAGGTAAACGAAACCGTCGAAAGATACCGATTCTTCTCGAGGAGCCAAGGGTTGGATGAAAATGTGGACAGCTATGTAACTGACTTGAAGACGCTTGCTAGCAGTTGCAATTTTGGGGACATTGGAGACTCATTGATTAGAGACCGACTTGTGTGCGGTACAAATAGCTCAGCGCTGAGGGAGAGATTACTCAGGGAAGAGAAGCTCACTCTTGATACATGCCTGCACATCTGTAGAGCTACAGAGCTGGCTATGGAGAATTGCAGAACACTGAAAGGACAGACAGTGGAGGAGATACATATATGGAAGTAAATCTGTGTCATCTGATTTTGAAAGAAAAAGGTGATTGAATTTCTAGCACTGAATATTTAAAACACTCAACGAAGCCCCATTATTAGTGGACATGGCTGAAATCCGGTCATCATAGCTGACAAGTTGTATTGGGGCGCTCGCTCCTTTTGCTTGACGCATGCTCCCGATCTTGAATCTAGAATCAATTGGTCTTCCTTGGGTTCCCGGATGTCGCGGTTAGAATTTTTTTGCATTGAATTTTTTGCGGTTGAATTTTTTGCAGTTGAATATTTTAACGTTGAAAGACATGCATAAATATTCAGTGCTAGACATTCAATCACCTTTTTCTTTCAAAATCCGATGACACAGATTTACTTCCATATACATGCACTAAAACAGATGGAAGGAAGGAAAGAAGACAATAAGATACTGTGCAAGTTTTGTGGTGGAACACACGAGAGGAATAAGAAAAAATGCCCAGCTTTTGGAAGAAAATGTAAGAAGTGTGGAAAGGAAATCATTTTGCAGCACAGTGCAGATCAAGTAGGAAAACGAAGAAAGTGCATGCAGTTACAGAGCAGACTAGTGACAGCGACTCATATGAGGATGTCAACTGTGTAACTGAAGCAAGTAGAGAGGATGAAACTGTAAACCAGGTTAAAGACAGCCACAGTGAGGGCCAGCAGCTCTTTGCAACAATGAAGATAGGGGAAAAGTTGGTCAACTTCCAGATAGACTGTGGGGCCACCTGTAATATCATCCCCATCGACCTACTGAACCCAGACACACAGTTAGAGCACACTGAGAAAGTGCTAGTGATGTATAATAAGACCAAGTTGACTCCTCTGGGTACATGTAAGGTTAAGGTCAGAAATCCCAGAAACAACAAGCTATACAGATTAGAGTTCCAAGTGGTTAACCAGAATAGCAGAATCCCTTTACTGGGCAGAAAAGCCAGCGAGGCAATGAAGCTGATAAAAGTACAGTACGAGAACATCGTGGCTATAGACAGCATAGTGAGGAAAGAGCCGAGCCCAGTGATAAAGCGAGAACACATGACCATGGACAAAATAAAGGAAGAGTTCGAGGATGTGTTCACCGGAGATGGTTGCATGGAGGGTGAATATAAAATAGAGATAGATGACAGATTACCACCAGTGAAACTGCCAAAGCGCAGAGTGCCTGTAGCTATGATGACACCTCTAAAAGAGGAACTCAAAGATCTGGAGAGAAGAGGGATAATCACACCAGTGGAACGCAGCACTGACTGGATCAGTAGCATGGTCGCAGTGAAAAAACCTAATGGGAAGCTGAGGATCTGTATAGACCCAAACCTCTGAATCGGGCACTAAAAAGAAGTCACTATCCACTCCCAACTATAGATGACATCCTGCCGGAGATGTCGAAGGCAAAGGTGTTCACAGTATGCGATGTGAAGCAAGGTTTCTGGCACGTCAGACTAGAAGAAGAGTCGAGCTACCTCAACACATTCGCCACCCCATTTGGTCGCTTCTGCTGGCTGAGGATGCCGATGGGAATAAGCCCAGCACCGGAAGTGTTCCAAAGAAAGCTCATGCAGGCCCTGGAGGGCCTCCCAGGAGTCTACATCATAGCAGATTATGTGTTGATCACGGGGGAAGGAGCTACACAAGAGGAGGCAGACAAGGACCATGACGAGAAAGTCAGAATCTTTCTAAGCAGGTGCAGAGAGCGCAACATCAAGCTAAACGCGGACAAATTCAAGCTTAGGCAGAAGGAGGTACCCTACATAGGTCATCTGCTCACGGCCGATGGACTGAGGATTGACCTGGAGAAAGTGCAGGCAATCAGAGGGATGCCAAGGCCAATAGACGTGAAAGGGTGCAGAGACTAGTTGGGATGGTCAACTATCTTTCTAAGTTCTATGATCACCTCTCGGATGACTGTGAGATTCTGAGACAACTCACGCGCAAGGAAAACATGTGGGAATGGACAGACATCCAAGAAGGCGTGTCAACGGCTGAAAGACAAAATCGCGAAAGCACCAGTCCTACAATACTACAATAAGGAAGAGGAGTTGACACTTCAGTGTGACGCATCGGACACAGGACTGGGGGCCGCCCTGACACAGAAAGGTAAACCGGTGGCATTTGGCAGTAGGGCACTCACACCAACTGAAAGGGGCTATGCCCAAATAGAGAAGGAATGTTTAGCGATTGTGTTTGGGATGGAAAAGTTCCATCTGTATACTTATGGTAGAGAGGTCACAGTGCAAAGTGACCACAAGCCTCTAGAGCAGGGGTGCTCACACTTTTTCAGCATGGGAGCTACTTTTGAAATGACCAAGTCAAAATGATCTACCCATTATATTTATTGAGAAATATATTGAGGATTCTTACAACTTATGTTGATGTATAACCACATATGTTGCACAACACAACATAATTCAGAACTGAACAGACTGAACAACATAATTATGTACATTTTTTGCCATCACCTGAGCTCACTCTGATGACTTGCACTGAATTGAATCAGCCAGGGATACATAGTCCAGACAGTAGCTGCTGACAGCCAGCCTCAAGCACATTTCCAAATGCTCATCAGTCACAGTGGAGCGGTACTTGGACTTAATTATCTTCATGTGGGAAAAGGCTGACTCACATAAATAAGTGGAGCCGAAAAATGCAGTCAAGGAGGTAGCACATTTCCTCATGTTGGGATACTTTTCCTCTGCTAGTAAGTTCCAGAATTGTCCATGAGCTCTGGACTTCAGCTCAATGTCAGCTTGTAGTGTGAATATCTCATCTTCCACTCCAGAAGAGTTCAGGTGAAACAGTGTTGCAATTTTTGATGAGAGCGAATCAATCTCCACATCTTCCCGAAAAGGAAAACACATGAATGTTGCAACTGGCTCGAGCAAAGAAAAGTCTTGAAAGCGTTTTTCAAACTCTGACAGACAGTTGTCAATCTGTTCTGTGTAGCGTGCACTGTCAAGTTGCACACAGGCCTTCCCTTGCATCTCCAGCTCTGACGCCAGGTTCTGGAAGTTTTCCAAATCATGGCGCTGCAGCTTTGAGGACAGATGTTGCAGTTTGCGTTTGAAAGCATTAACTGAGCTGATCATATTGATCACTGTTTTGTCTTTTCCTTGCAGCTCTAGATTGAGGTTGTTCAACGTGTTTGTCAGGTCAGTTAAAAATGCCAAGTCTAACAGCCACTCACCGTCACTTAGTTGCTTGTATTCTGCATGCCCAATTGCACGGAAAAACTCCTTTATCTCCAGGCAGAGCTCTCGAAATCTTTGCAGGAATTTCCCTCGGCTAAGCCACCTCACGTCAGTGTGTAGCAACAAGTCAGAGTGGTCGCAGTCAGCCTGCTCCAGATGTGCACGGAATAACCGTCTTTGAAGAGACCGGGCTCGAATAGCACAGGCGATCTTCGTTGCGACATCCATGATTTCTTTCATGTTGAGCATTTTAGCGCATAATGCCTGTTGGTGGATTATGCAATGGTAATTCAGAAAGTCTGGGAAAGCATCGTCCTGCCTACACTTGGCAATAAATCCATTCAAGTGACCAATCATTGCAGGTGCGCCATCTGTGGTGATAGACACCAATTTGTACACCGGCAGCTGGGTTTTCTCAATAAAGTTTTTGAACGACAGAAATATGTCCTCTCCTCGCGTCTTTTCTTTCATGGGCAGTAATGTTAACAGTTCCTCTCTTGCAGTCATATCACTGAACACCATACGAATGAAAACGCACATCTGGGCTGTGTCACTCACGTCCGTTTCATCCAACTGCAGTGAGAAACACTCGCAATCTCCGATGTCCTTCCACATTTGCTGCGTTAAGTCCTCAGCCATGGCTTCACAACGCCGTGTAACTGTACACCTTGACAGCTGGAGAGCTTTGATCGGAGACAGGATTTCTGCTTTATTTTTAAAGTCCCGGAACAATGAGTGCGCTGCTTCAACGAATGCCTCTTTTACCATCTCTCCATCTTGGAATGACTTCTTGTTTTTAACGATGATGTGACTTACTCGGAATGATGCTTCGGTGGCAGCTTTCGCTTTAGAAGTAGCTTGTGTGAAAAATGACTGCTGTCCCAATAACTGGGATTTTAGCTCCTTCACCTTTGTCTTTCTCAGCTCGCTTTTCGGCGGGAATTCAGTGTCGTATTTTCCATGAAGAGTCCGAAAATGCCGCTCCACATTTCCCTTCTTTGGTATTGCAACGGTAGACTGGCAGACGAGACAAACGCACTTTGAAAATGTCATCGTGAAAAAAAATTCCTCCTCCCACTCCGTATGAAAGTGATAGGTTCTTTTTACTTGGTCCAGCTCCCCCACTCATTTTTATACCCTATCTTACGTTTAAGAGGAAAAAACCGAGCGAAAAATTAGGATGTAACTAACGACTAGCTTGTTAGCTTTGCAGCGCTCAGGGGCGTTGTTTGAACACGCACAGTGACCTAATTGTACGGGGGAAAAAATCAGATGTCATCTGACTGGTTGTCCTGTGTATCAATCAAGTGACGGGATGGCTGATAGGCTGACGTCTAGTTTTTTTATTCAAAACAACTCAACTTTATTTGTATAGCGTCAGTTCATGACAATGTCATCTCACCTTGTCATGCGATCTACCAATAGTACCTTGGAGATCGACTGGTAGATCGCGATCGACGTATTGAGCACCCCTGCTCTAGAGAATATACACAGCAAGCCCTTACTTAGTGCACCTAAGAGACTGCAGAGAATGTTACTCAGGCTACAGCAGTATGATATTAGTGTGACCTATGTTCCAGGCAGGGATATGTTACTTGCAGACACGCTGAGCAGAGCATACTTACCAGAGAGCACTAGGGGTGAGAGTGAGACAGATATAGAGACTGTAAACATGGTTGGCTACCTACCCATTTCAGCAGAGAGGCTGAGTGCCATCAGGGCTGCAACAACAGACGACACAAAGTTACAGAGTGTGGCAAATAGAATACTGTCAGGGTGGCCCAAGAGAAAACAGGACTTACCAAGTGACATCAGGCACTACCACACCTTCCAAGATGAACTGAGTTTCCCGGATGACATAGTGTTCCGAGGGGACAGAGCCGTGATACCTGACGCACTCAGGGTGGACATCACTCACAGGATCCACTCCTCTCACCTGGGAGTAGAGGGATGTCTGAGGCGAGCGAGGGAGTGTGTATACTGGCTTGGAATGAATGAGGAGATCAAGACTTTCATCTCCAAATGTGACATATGTAGGTCAGTGGACCCAAAACAACAAAGAGAGACACTACACCCACATGACATGGCAAGCAGACCCTGGGCCAAGGTAGGAACAGACCTTTTCTCCTTTCACAATAAAGACTATCTGATAACAGTAGACTATTATTCAAATATTTGGGAGGTCGATTATCTACCTGACACGAAGAGTAACACAGTGATCAAGAAACTCAAGGCTCACTTTGCCCGACAAGGGATTCCGTACATTGTTATCTTAGACAATGGACCCCAATATGCATCACTAGAGTTTCAGCACTTCAGCCGAAAGTGGGACTTTGAACACAGGACATCGTCGCCAGGATACCCGCAGAGTAATGGGAAAGCAGAGTCAGCGGTGAAGACAGCCAAGCGCCTGATGCTGAAGGCTGCAGCAGCACGACAAGATCCGTACTTGGCCATGCTGGATCATCGCAACACGCAGAGCCAGGGCCTCGTCACAAGCCCGGCAGAGACTTCTGAGCAGGAGGACCAGGACCCTGCTTCCCATGAAGGACACTCTGCTGAAGCCAGAGGTAACACACAACGAACAGGGACTGGAAAACAACAGACGGAGACAGGAAAAGTACTACAGCAAAAGACATGGACACTCTGGAGAGAGGGGACAATGTGAGAATACAACCCTGTGGCACACACGGTGGCTGGAGACCAGCGAAGGTGGTCCGACAGGTGAGCCATAGATCATATGAGGTGGAGTTGGAGTCAGGTGGTGTTGTGAGGCGTAATCGTCGCCACCTCAGACACAATCTCACCCGCCGCTCACTAACACAGAACACACCCACACCAACTGTGACTGAGGAGGCCGTAGCGCCAGGCGGCCCAGCAAACCGGGAAACGGTCACTAGGTCGGGTCGACAAGTTGTCAGACCCCACTACCTGACGGACTATTCGCAGTGATTGGAGGATGGACTATGAAAAAAAAAAAAAGAGAGAGAGAAACAAGGTGATGGAGAAATGGAATGTGTTGTTGTATACACTTGTTGCATTTGTGAAAAAACTGATGTTTTGAACACGTTGATTTGTTATTGTCTATGTTGTTGGATTGTTATTGCCTATGTTGTTAGATCTGTTGTAAATGAGCAGAGCAGATGGTAAAAGTGTGTTACACTAGAATATCGAAGTCAAGGAAAGAGACTAACTTGAAAAAAAAAAAGAAAGATGTAACAATAGTGTTTGCAAGTCGTACCTGAAGTGTTGCAAACACTTGTGTTTTGCAAGTCGTTGCAAAACAAAATGGACACATTGCAACAACATTTCAGTGCCAATGTGTCTGTTGGAGAGTTATCGCTGCCCGGTGGTCTTTTACTCCCCATAAACACAGGCAGGATAGCGAGCTCCAGGAACGATTTGTAAGTGTGCTGCTATTGTTTCTAACGCTGTAGGTTAATCTAAACTCAAATTAAGATTGTACACTGCATATTCGACAGTCTGAAATCACAGCCTGTCACATTTGATATTTATGTATGAGAAGCTTCAGCGAAATGTAATGTGGAGCACTTTTTTGATTTTCAGCTCCGGTTTTTGGCCATCAAATGTGGGAAGGATCCGAAGACAACCGTGTGGAGAATGCTTCAGAGTATCTTCTCAAATCGCCTTTCAATTTCTACAACTTGGACTGGTGTAGGGGCTAAAGCTTGTTTTAAAGACCTGTTCCTGAAGACCATTGTTCATAGTAAGTTACATATTCTCTTAAGTAGATGTGTATGTGATGTGTATTCAAATGGAATGACAGATCTGTATTTTCTGCAGGGGCCATACGGAAGAATCCGGCAACACTGATGAGGCGGTCCAGGTTAATGTAATGCGTTACCTGAAAGGAGCATCTGACCGCGAAGGTGGAAAAAGGCGCAGCACAACAGAGAGGGACCCAGAACCGACTCCTCAAACCTTGGCTTGTCTAGACTACTGACACCCCAGCATGTTCTTTGTGTGTGTGTGTGTATATTTGATGTATATATTTTTTGTTTTCTTTTTTATTTATATTTCAGTGTGCTGACACATCTTGTTTCAATACTGTACTGAAATGTGGAATTAAAACTTCAAATGGAAATTTGTCTGGTTTGATCAATCATTATTCTAGATAAACTGCATGCTATTAAAATTTTATTTATATAAATATATGTATATATAAACAAATAAATATATTACTGATCGCTCCAAAATAGCCTTTGCCTCCGGCAGGCCGCAGTAAAGCTGCCTTTGTTATAACTGCGGCGGAACGGCCGTTGACCTGCTGTCCGTCCGCGAAAGGTCCGCCAGCAAACGTGTTTGCGATTACGCAATTTTCTTTTGATTTCATTACACACGGTCCTCCTCAGCAGATCAATGTATAGTTAGTTTGGTCGAGATGTATCACTATTCATTAATATGAATAACTATATACATATCGTGGTCAGATATTATATAATGTCATCTGTCAACTGTAGGTTTTCAGTTTCATAACTCATCTGTATTTTCCATCCAATCTATAATTTGCAAAAACTGAGTTCATAATCCTGCCATTATGGTCCCAGACACACAGACTGCACTCAAAATAAAGCTGCTGTAAAAACAAACATCAGTACATATTCCTACAGGCAGGTATATTATACAATTAAACAGTTTCATCAATTTTAATTCATCGAAAACCACAAAAACAAACGCATTTTAATATGTTCCCAATTTAATGAGTGATACAGAAACAAAACGTTTTCTTCCCATATTACAAAAAATCAATGACAAGTGTTTTACCAACACCTAGCGCATGGAAACTATGAAAACAGAATAAAAATGTTGTCATAGTTCAGAACACCAAAGACGCCTACATCATCATCTCTGCCCGATAATAACAGTCTTTATGAGTGCCACTTGTGACCACGGGGCCAAATCTCAAATGACACCAGTCCCCATATAGAGTCCTACTTTTAGCCGGAGACCCAGATACAGAACTGTGACAGGGGGCAGAAAGTAGAGCAGCATCCCGATGAAGATGGCAGGATTTGAGAGAAGACCTTAACGAGGAAGCACTCATTTCTTCTTCTTCTCATCTTTCTTGGCACCGTCAGCTTTTTCCTTCTCCTTGGCTTTGTCCTTATCGTCTTTTTTCTCTTTGTCGTCTTTCTTCTCTTTCTTGCCTTCTTCCTTCTCCTGTCCTTCCTTTTTCTCTGCGTCGCGGTTGGAGATCTTGTTGTTGATCAGATTGTGCAGAGCTACCACGGAGCGTATGAGCGAGGCGAGGTAGACCACCAGCATCTGGTCGTTGGTCTTAAGGTAGAAGGCTTTAGTGAACTCCTGCAAAGATGGAAATGTAACTAGGGATGCACCGATCCACATTTTTTCACTTCCGATCCGATCCCTAAATTTGGATATCGGCCGATACAGATAATATTCCGATACCAGAGCTGTGTTTGAAAAACAGGAAATCCTGTTAACAGAAAAAAATCTGAAAACAAATTTGAAACTAAGGGTTTCAGATTGATTGTCATGTCAATATTTATTTAATTTCATGAATGTCAAATGTCAAAGACTTATTTTTAATAAGTCTTAAAAATTTAGAAATATGAAAAGTGCAAGTGCACACACACACATACACACTTGACACACAGTCTCACTCACTCGTTCACAAAAATAACAGCACAAATCAAGTAAACTGACTCTTGTATCATGAACAACATGTCAAATATCTGAAGAAAAGTGCAATAAAATAACTGTAAACATCTTACACACATACACACTTGACACACAGACTCACTCATTCACACACGCAATCACACTTACTCTCTCTCTCACACGATTCTTTAAAAGAAAACAAAACTTGAATGTCTCAAAGTTGACTCTGAGGAAGTGATGTAGTGTTCAACAAATCTTACATCGGCAAGTTCTTCTTGAGGAATATGAGCATTTCTGCTCTCTCTGCAGTTAGCCGATTCCTTTTTCATCCACGATATTGGCTGCCGTGCTGAACAGTCTAGCCTCAGCGCTATCCTGCTATCCTGCTAGCCTGCTAGTCTGCTAGCTGGCTGCAAACTGTGGAATGGATTCCTGAACGGAGGCGCGGCTCAATGAGACAGTTATGAGACACGCTCAGGAAATCCATTCCACAGTTTGCAGCCAGCTAGCAGACTAGCAGGCTAGCAGACGGGGATCACTTTTGGAGTCATTTCACCAGACGACGTTAAAGCGCAGACATGGCTCATTGATATCGGAAATCTCCAAAGGTTGTATCGGAAAATCCGATACCCGAATTTCTCTGGTATCGGGTCCCGATACCGATACTGGATCGGATCGGCCCCATCCCTAAATGTAACATTTAGGAACCCACAAAATGTCCAAATGAAACAAGCAATAAATTCATTAAAATTCAGAAGCATACTCAGTTCTGCTATGCAATCTTACACAGAGATGCTGAGACAATTAAACCAAAAAAGGAGTTAACAACTTACCAGCAGATTTACATCTGGCAGTAAATTGAAGACGTCCTGCAGCTGGTAGATAATCTGGTGGTTGATGGGAAGTTTTCCTGCCGTCACTCTCTCCAAGTAGGAGCGGATTTCCAACAGCTTGGAGTTCAGACCCTTCAGGCCGTGAACCTGATTTGTGATCCGTTGCGATAGAGTGCCCACTGTGGTGTCCTTGATATCTCTGGATATGAAGGGCATGAGGATGAATATCAGCAGGCGAGGGGTTAACTTTTGTTGATCCTTTTTGTGTTTTTCCCCCCCAGTTAAATTAGCAGTAGAGTGGTATACTGTGGTGACTAAAATGGATATTACACGCTCAACAGCGTAGCAAAGTGAGTAAATGAAAGGTTTGTTTTGTACCTGAGCAGGTGCTCCACACCCACTTCCTCTGCTTCCTCTGCTCCAATCTCGCTGGTGACATGTTCAAATGTCTTGGATGTTGGTGTCCCATCCTATAGTCAAATAAACCAAAATGTGTTACAAATAATAAATTAAAAAAACCACAGAAAGAAAACCACACAGCAGTAAGGACGGTAAACTTTGACTGAGAGGACTTTGTATAAAATAGAAAATCTCCTTACCAGTCCTTAAAGGCCTTACCAGTTTAGTGTGGTCAGTTTAAATACAAACTAGTCATGAAACCTATATCATTGCAAAACACCGAACAAGCCAAGATTCACTCACGTCATGAATTTCCTCCACAGAGATGTATGCTTCTGTGGGGAGGCCGAGATCTTTGGGCTTCACATCTATAATGACTAAGACCTGGTAGGATAAAAACCAAAATACATGAGCGACTTATATGACATCTCAGTGAATATGAGATGAGCAAAGTTACGCAACAGCAAATCAACATTGAGCTGGATCGAGACAATTAACAATTACATACCGAATTGGTACAGTACTGCTTGATGAGCTCGTTGATGGCGATGTCGTTCTTATGTAGCTTGGGTCCTGTGTGATACCATCCGACTATTCTTTCTCTGGCTGAAAACCAGAAACGGAAGTTATTCATGAGTATAAAATGATGTCACCACTACAAAACCGAATCACACCGATGTAGGTGGTGTATTACCATTTACTTTCTTGAACATGCCATACATGTTCTCCAAGTAGTCATGATCCAGGAACCACACAGAGTCATCCCGGTCATCCTCGTCAAATGGCACTAAAGGAACATTGGCAATGAATTAGAAAGAAAATTACAGAATTTACCATATTTCACTTCATAAAGGGCATTAGTGGGTAAAGCAGAATCCCAATGTAAAAATATATCTAATGCATATGGAAATATTTTAAGATGGGCCCTTCACTGATTACAGACACAACTTACTTAGACTTGTCAAATGTACTATGAGGTTTTGGAGGATGTTTTCTACAGTTTTACAAAGGCAGATGATATCATCTGGATTATCAATGTTTAGGATTAAAGAACACACATAACGTCAACATTAACTGGGGTACATTAATTACCCTGAGCTGAGTGTAAGGCCTGAAGGATCCAGTGGCTTTACAGTATGCATTTCATTAGAGACCTAAACTCAGAACATCTCAGTTGCTTCCGTTTTCCTTTGTAATACTGTTGTGTACGGAACTCTGATCAGCATGCTGTCCTCCTGTCACTCACCAGCAAAACTATTTGAGACGTCAAGAACTTTTTTATGCCAAGATCCGAGAAGGACACCAACCACTCGTTTCTGGTTGCCAACTTTTCCTATTCTGTGGATTGAATTGTCAAATGTACGGAAAACCAGGTTAGATCGCAATAGTATGTCTATCGAATTCCAACAAATATTATACAGTTTTATTAATATGTACATATACACACACATGTTTTTCAGAACCCCCTTTAAATACGAAGTCGTTCGCTATTAGGTTGTGGACTAAGCCCACATCTTCATGTCATCCATTGCTAACCAAATAACAGAACAAAATGAGTGTTACAATGGGCAACAGCGATTTCAAATCTTATCATTAGGCATTAATGAGCACTATTATTGACTAATTTAACGGTTGGACACATTGTTTTCTGACAATAGTTGACGAACTAGACAGACACCACGGAGCTAACTTCACCCTAACTAGCTTGCTCATGTCTGCGTTCACTCTCAACGGGGCTCTGACTCAGCAAGGCTAACATTAGCTTAGCTTAGCAGCTCCGTTACGCGTTTAGACTCTTGGCTATTCAGCTAGTTCAAAGAAGAACAAAAATACTGAAATCACTGACCTGTTAAAGTGATCGACCACGCTGAGCAATACCAGGGGGTGAACGACCACATTTTCTACTGCTAATTCCGGCATTTTCGCAGTGTAGACAACCAGCTCACAAGCCCACCTCGACACAATGACGGCGACGCTACACTTCCGGTTTCGTCTGACGTCGTTTCCGTTTCTCTTGGCAACAGCGAAACGCGCAGAAAAGGCAGAAGAGTTGTCTCACCCGGCCTCACACACGCACATTCACAGACAGAATGTCTCACAGACAGAATGTCTGGGACTGAACACGTAAGTCATCCGTCTTTAGTCCTGGAGGCGTTTTCTTAAATGTGTTTAACAATGTGTCTCTTCGCGGTGACGTTATTATTGTTCAACGTTGACAATTTAACGATGACGATAACAGAGAACGCCGATAATCAATCATTTTAGCTCTAACGTAACTAAAATGTCCATTTGGGGCTTTGTTAACGTGAACTAAACTTTTATAATTTAACTATTAGTTATATTTCATAAGTGTCCGTTTTACTAAATGCCTTCCCACTCGGCAGGATCAAGTTGAGGAAACACTGAAGAGGATCGAAGCCAATAAATATGTGATTGGAACGATCGTTGTCAACACAGAGGGTGAGCTAAAAGCCGTTTCCTGCACCTCTACACTACCCTTTTATTGTAAATGTTTTAAAAGTGTGATCTTTCCAGGTATTCCCATCAGAACAACTTTGGATAACTCCACCACGGTCAGTGGCGGTTCTGGGCACGGGCGAACCGGGCAGCCACCTGGGGCGGCATTTTTTCATGGCTCATGGGGGGCGGCACGAGCGCTGGAAAAAAAATCCTCTGCTCCGCGAAGCAGTTTTCTATCATCTATCGTTTCACTGTGTGGGGAATTGGCAGATTGTGCCCCCCTGCGGCTGCAGGCGCCCTGCTTGTTGGAGGTGCTGTGCACAGAATCTGTGTGAGTAGGGGAAAAGGAAGGGGCGCGCGGGGGACAGTTCACCTCTGGGTCACCCAAATGGAACGGTCGGATAAGGGGGGGGAGCAGGGGTCGGGGGATTCACTGTTAAATACGCTAATGTAATTAGTGGGCTAAAGTCAGTCACACCCCGACTTTCTTACAAATAACGCACATTTCAATAATGATAAATGCAAGCCTATAGTTCCTGCACATTTTTGTTTTTATGAATTGTGTAAAATGGCCAATAAAAATTGGTAATACAAAACGATTATGTGTCACCTTTCACCAAGGTTAATTGGTTTAGTCTTGACTTCTGGTCGTGACTGACAGTGTTGGGGGGATGGGAAATCTGTTGCTTGTCGAGTCAGAGGCAAATAAAAACAGATGGACAGAAAAAGGTTAAAATCATCAGGTTCCCACTACAGAAAGAAAAGAAAAGAAGAGGAGGAGAAGCAAGCAAAAGATGGAGGTATGCAAATATGTTGTCTCTCTGTATGATTATACAGCCACATCAGCCATCAAGGAGATATTTTCCACATTGGAAAATATGGGAAATAATTCAGGGTGTTGACACATTTCCCAAGTCTTGCAGATGAAGAGCTGGCAGAGCAATGCGAGGCACTAGGCACCACACTGCACTTTAAGGGGCACTCTGATTTGGACAGTAGAAAGCTTGTGCAGGAAATTAAGAACTTCCCTGACCTGCCATCAAAGACCATGAGCCTCCTTGAGCCAATCACTTGTGCATGACAAGGATCTATCAGAGATCTACCCCAACTTTTGGACTGCTCTCAGGATTGCACTTACTCTGCCAGTCACTGTGGCTCAAGCAGAGAGGAGCTTTTCCAAACTGAAGTTGATCAAGTCATACCTTAGGTCAACCATGTCCCAGAAACGGCTCACTGGCCTTGGTGTCATCAGCATCAATCATTCCATAGGGGAGCAGATTTCATACAAAGACATTATTGATGATTTTGCATCAAGGAAGGCCAGAAACGTCAGGTTTTAGATTTAGTTTGTGTTTTCTGTTCTTAGTGCAATAGTGAAACAGTTCGATTGTATTTTGTGTGATGAAGAATTTGTGCTATTTACAATATTTATTCTATATTTTATTTGTATATTGTTCTTTTGTATTGTATATTTTGTGCAAATCAAAACTCTCACTCTCAAAGGTGGTCTCGCCCTGGGCGCCATTCAATGCAGAACCGTCCCTGACCACGGTTGTGTATGCACAGCTTTTACGCCACCTCACCATGAAGGCAAGTAACATCGTGAGGGACCTTGACCCTCAGAATGACATTTGTTTTTTTCTGAATGCAGACAAAGAAACACAATATCTTGGTTGCACCAGGTGAGTGTCCAGAAGGTGCATTTGTATTGTTGACTTAATTGTCTGTAACTTGACCGTGCTGTTGTACTGCAGTTGAATTTTTTTTCTCTTCTTTCTTTTTGTTTTTGCAGAAAACAACTTTCTGCTGATAGTCATCCAGAAGCATGTGAATAGCCTCTGGACATTTCCATGAGAGTCAGCCTTTGTTTTGTGCCATAATGGTGATAAAAAATGTTTTTACACCGTGTTATGTTACAGCATTATCCATAATTGTTGGAATGCATTAAGCATTCCAAGTATTGTTCTTCGAATTTTTATTCCAACATCTTTTATTGTTGGAATGCATTAAGCATTCCAAGTATTGTTCTTCGAATCTTTATTCAACTTATTGTTGGAATGCATTAAGCATTCCAAGTATTGTTCTTCGAATCTTTATTTCTTCATCTTCTATTTCTTCCGCGCCCCCTTTCAACTCCTTCACATTTTCAGCTATTTAAACCGTTCAAATATTAAAATATTCAGCTCCTTTCTGGCTTTAGGGCTATGGCTTTTCAGCTTTCTAACTATTAAGCTTAAATTTATATAACTCAATAATCATTAATATTTTAACATGGTTTTCCAATGGAGATCGTTTTCAAATCCTCTTAAACTTCTTCAACTTTCAGATTTTTCAGCTCCGCCAATCTTTCAGCTACTGACACCATTTAATCTATTCTACTTTTTTCATAATCACTGATTATGTTTCACTAGTTCTTCGCTCCGTTTCTGACTTTTACATGAGTGTGTATTGCGTCTGCTAGAGGGAGACCCGGAGATCTTAGAGTGTGAGGCAGCGCCAGAATCTGGTTAAAAAAATATGGAACTTCTGTCCTTGCAGCCAAAGTATACACTCTAGAGGCTTAATTTCTTCAGATTAATGAGGGCATGGTTGTGCTGATTGGATTAATGCGTTCATGGAATCCCAGAGTTCTTTAGTTTTGGCCTACGAAGACCAACAGTGACACAACCTCTGCTAAAAGCCCCATAAAAAGTCCCTGCGTTCGGTAGAGTCTTGTTTCTCGCACAAACGTCGTATTTTTTAGATAGCTGTTATAGTTTTGCGCTGGTTGTCATTTGTTTGAGGTGTGGATTCTGTGTAACTCGCTGCCCTTTGCAGCAGCTCGTTAATGAGCACAGGTGCGTCGTTGTCGTGGTTACTCGCTCACACGCTGCAGGATCTCTGTCTGTGAGTCACAGCTGCTCCTATGACCTGATTAGTGGAGTCACATGACGCAGCTATGCTTTCTGTCAACAGACCAATATGATAAAGACACCCCCCCCCCTCCCCCCTCCACCCTGACCTCTTCTCACTGTTAATCACTCAGTCTGTCTGTCTATTTCTCCTCCTCTCTCTCTCCCTCTATCTCTTCCTCACCACCCCTCCCTTTCTCACTCTCTCACACTCCCTCCCTCTATCTACACCCCCCCACCCAATCCAATAATATCAAAATAAAAGCCCCATGGAGGGAATTTTTACTGTAATGTTTGTGACAAGGCCTATTCATTAAAAACTTCTTAGTTTGAATAACAAACATTCAGTCTCCCAACCCCCCTCACCCAATTCCATCATTACAAAATAAAAGCCTCAATGATTATCTGTACCTTAACCATGAAGCTCAAAATGAAGCGGTTTCGTTGAAATACGCATTGCTCTTTCAAATACTACTACAACCACTACGAATATTACTCGTACTTCTAGTACTACAACTGATACTTCTACTACCATACTACTAGTATTTCTACTGCTATTAATACTACAACTACTACTAATGTTATTACAAATACTACTATGGCTAATAGTGTCAGTATTCCAGCTGTTTCTACTGCTATTGATACTAAACCGACTTCTACTGCTAGTACTACTAATACCACAATTACAACTATAACTAATACTACTACTAATAATATTACTACAAACAATTTTAAACCTCTTTTTATTCATCTCAGCTTTTATTTCTGTACTTTTTAAAATTCAATTAAGCTCTTGCAACTTCTGTATTTTTTAGAAAATCTATTGAAATTCAGCTTCCCCACTTCCTGTATTTTCAGCAGTTTTTTAAAATAATTTCTGCTTTTCCTATGCCTCTATTTACAGCAATGTTTTAATATTCATTTATTTATTTTTGCGTATTTTTTAGATAGCTGTTATAGTTTTGCGCTGGTTGTCATTTGTTTGAGGTGTGGTTTCTTGGTAAAATCCGTTTACTCTGTGATCAGCCCGCGAAAACAGCAGCTGCGCCGTCTCCATGACGACCACACAGGCTCGTGCCAGCACTCACTCTCCCTTCCCTACGGAGTCTGACAGACAAGCAGGCTCACGTGGGGTGGGTTTCTCAGCCAATCACATACTGTCTACTCTTGTCCAATAGAAATCTTTCGTTCAACGTGTGAACGGGAAAATAGAGAATCCTTGACATCTTGACTCATCATTTACATAAACTATCCTGAAGTCGAAAAAAGTAAGTAAGTAAGTAAGTTTTTTTTGTCCTCATAAATGTGATAATCAAAACTATATGAATAATACTTGACATATACTATATATCTTATTATATATATATATATATATATATATATATATATATGTATCTATATATATGTATATTTATACATCTTTTATTGACAAACTATTACAAAACAAAACTATTATATAGCATTTTCTTTAAATATTGCTAGCTAGATATCTCAAAGTAGCAGCCATCAATTTCCTGTTCCTCTTACATCCAACTAATTGTCATTAACTTAGTCGCCTGAAGGTCAAAAGCTGAGAGAAGTGTTTTTCCCCCTCAAATATACTAATTTAAAATAATAGCTGACATATACTATATATCTTTATATTGACAAATTACATTAAAACGTTTTTTAAACATTGCTAGCTAGATATCGGTCATATGATATCTAGCTAGCACCGTCATTTCCTGTTTTAGGCATACAAAAGTGTAATTTCTAAGATGAAATGTGTTCTAGCCTACTCCCTAACTTAGTGTCCATTTTTATATTTCAGAATGGCCCTAAAACAGCTTCTTGGGACCAAACCGCCCACTGCTTATTTTAAACCACCAGCAATCCACCTATGTGTGGTTCTCAAAAAAGAGCAGGCCAGGGTGGTGACCTGGAACTTTGGTGTAACGGGTGCGAGTCCAGCTGTGACTAAAAACAATGTTGTAGTGTTTTTTTCGGACGGGAAGTCACTTACAAAGACAACAATTTACGAGGAGAGAGAGGCCTACCCCATGCGCCAAATACAGCTGCAGCAGGTAGGCTGTCCACTTAAATGGAGACACACACACACACACACAAACAAACTCACACAGGCAGACCGAGATACAGACACGTACACAGAGACATAAAGACACACACGCAGGGAGGGAGAGACAGACACGTACACAGAGACATAAAGACACACACACACACAGGGAGGGAGAGAGACACGTACACAGAGACATAAAGACACACACACGCAGGGAGGGAAAGACAGACACGTACACAGAGACATAAAGACACACACACGCAGGGAGGGAGAGACAGACACGTACACAGAAACATAAAGACACACACACGCAGGGAGGGAGAGACAGACACGTACACAGAGACATAAAGACACACGCAGGGAGGGAGGGAGAGACAGACACGTACACAGAGACATAAAGACACACACACGCAGGGAGGGAGGGAGAGACAGACACGTACACAGAGACATAAAGACACACACACGCAGGGAGGGAGAGACAGACACGTACACAGAAACATAAAGACACACACACGCAGGGAGGGAGAGACAGACACGTACACAGAGACATAAAGACACACGCAGGGAGGGAGGGAGAGACAGACACGTACACAGAGACATAAGACACACACACGCAGGGAGGGAGGGAGAGACAGACACGTACACAGAGACATAAAGACACACACACGCAGGGAGGGAGGGAGAGACAGACACGTACACAGAGACACACACACGCAGGGAGGAAGAGACAGACACGTACACAGAGACATAAAGACACACACACGCAGGGAGGGAGGGAGAGACAGACACGTACACAGAGACATAAAGACACACACACGCAGGGAGGAAGAGACAGACACGTACACAGAGACATAAAGACACACACACGCAGGGAGGAAGAGACAGACACGTACACAGAGACATAAAGATACACACACACAGGGAGGGAGAGACAGACACGTACACAGAGAAAAAAAATAAAAGACAGACACGCACACAGAGACGCAGGGAGAGACAGAATCTTTGAAATTAAACTAATCTCATCTGCACCTTGCAGGGGGAAACAGTGATTACACTGAGCCTGTGGAGGGAAGCTGCAGTCTGGGATCTGCTCCAAGTGGGGGGACACATTAGTGTCCCATCTAAGGACCACCCAGTCCCAATATGGGACGCAGGCGCAGTCCACAAATGTTTCCACCATTGAGGTAGCTCTACTTTGCTGTTGTATTAGTCACTAAAGGGGGGTACACACACCCACACAATAGCAGAACAGACCTTTATTACATTCAGCTATTTTGTTCAATCACATCTTAAAACTATACACGGGGAAGTCCAGAATTGATGTTCATTGTAAACAAATAAAAGTAGAAAATGTGAAATTAATAAGCAGTTGCTCTGGGTTAGGGTTAGGTTATCATAATGTTCTGGTAATTGGTGACAGAGCTGTATGTCAATGTTTCCCTTGACAGGAGGTGACATCAGAGGAGGTGGTTGGTGTGTGTGGGGTGGTTGAAGTGGAGGGCTCTCTAGACACCCTGAACCTCCTGCTGGAGGACGATCGCACCACCAACGTCAGCAGAGCGCTGTGGGAGCCCCTTGACCCCCAACTGAAAACTCCACCCCTGATGGTGAAAATAAAAATCATTGGAAATCATGTTTTCAAAATTCAATTGTATACAGTTTAATTTGTTTGTTTCATACGTTCTTTGTTCCTGAACGTTCTGTAATGCATTTGAGTTTTTTTTACTCTGTTTATTTTGTTATTTTATTGTTGGATTGATCCGTTCTGTCAAATAAAAATATTTCAAAAGCTGAGAGAAGTGTTTTTTTCCTCATAAATGTAATAATTAAAATACCTGAACTGTAACAGGTTGTTCCTCTGGGGGGGTCTTGGAAAGACGAGCATGAGGGAGTCTGGTCCATTATTGTTTTGTTTTTTTATTGTTTCACACCCAAAACACAGCCGGCTCCAGCCTTCTCGCTCTCTCGCTGTCGCCGGATCTCTCCTACTTAACAGGCAGAATACAAACACGGATTAATATGAGCTGAGGCCAATTGCCTCCCCTGGCACCGTTCCCTGAACCACTCCCTTCTCAGTCCCCCCCTGCAGCCGAGCCAAACCACGCCTGCCACCACACTGACATATACTATATATCTTTTTGACAAATTACATTACAACATTGCTAGCTAGATATCTCAAAGTAGCAGTCATCAATTTCCTGTTTTAGGCATACAACATACTTTTTCCAAGCGGAGAGCCTCTTCTGCCCCCCACCTCCTCTGACCCCCCTGAGCAGCTGTACAGATGTGGCTGGGCTGTTCACCGTGCAGGGGGAGGTCCTCGAGGTGAGTTCAATCTTGGCCTGTCGTGGTGTAAAAAAGGGCAACAGGTTTAATATTCGGTGCATATTGGCATAAATTGTAATTAACTCACAAATCCATCTTGTAAAGTGTCAGTGGTATGAGATCAGGGCTCTACGCTAATGTTTTCCTCAAGGAGTACATGAAAAAAAATTAGGAGCAGTGTTTTTTTTAAGCAGTTCCTGCTCAATGCCACACTATTTCAGTGCTTGCCCATTGCAGAGCCATAGAAAAAGAGTTGCGACACTTCCACACTTTTTATATGGCTCTGGCCCATTGGTTGCAAATTGTCGCTCTCATTTGCATAAAGTTTAGTGCATCTGGTATCGTTTGGTTATTTTTCCAATACCAGTCCTAACCCGATACTTTTAAAATGATACTGGTGCCTGAACAGATAGTTCTTTTGAGAAAGAAAAAGTACATTACGAATGATGAAATTGGAAAAGGGGTTTGTTTTCTTCCAATTGAAAAATATATCAACCGTTTAAACAATACTGTAAATATAAATGAATAAAAAACACTTTGGTTCAAACTTAACGTCAAACTATGAACATTATATGAACTGTTTACCAGTTTAATTAGAGTTTACCATCTTTAAGAGGCAAAAGGTGTGTGTGTGTGTATATATATATATATATATATATATATATATATATATTCTTTTGAATTTGAAGAATAGTAAATTCATTATTTGATTTTAGATCTATGCTCATTGTGCAGGAACTAAACATTTGTAACATATTGGAAAGCATTTACGTAGATTGACTCTCCTTGTTTGTCACCTTTTATTCACGTCATAATTGCAGCTGCAACACAGAAGAGCTGCATTAAGCACGAGAGCATATAGTTCTACTGTGTGATAGAATTTATTATTTATTTATTTTTTAGTAAACACTTTGCTGCGTAAAAAAGACAAAAATAATCAGACAATTTCTTGCCATTCGTGTGAGGAAGTGAAGTCACGTGTCTGCAGCTCAATGCGCAACATCACTGAAGAAACAACGCTACATGCTCGGATTAATACTTCGGTGGGCGCACGGATTGTCCGACAGGACGGGATAGGCCGGATGGGGGTCGGGGGGGACGCCCGCTCCGCCCGCTGGTGGGCGCGTGCTCACCTGTGTGAGTGCAGGTGTCTGCCTGTGTACTAGGGATGTCACAAGAACCGATACTTACAGTACCTTTGCATACTAAAATATCAAAACACCGACGATGGCTATTTTTTAAAGTTCCCGCGCATTGGTGCTGCACCTCTTCTGGAACTGAGTATAGTACACGCAGTATAGGCTTCAGTCTTCCAGTCCACGTTTACATTCAGAAAACAAAGATGGAAACTGCGGCTGCAGCGCTCGTCCCACCTCGACTTGTTGACAAGAAAGGCGCAAAGAGTCGGGTATGGCAGTACTTTGTGTTTGAGGCAGATGACGTGATTATTTTTTTGGTGGGGTTAGCCAATCAGTTTCAGTAAACATCCCATTATGATTCAATGCAAAAAAGCATTTCAAACACGTATAATTACTCTGTAGTTAAATATTTAACATAACGACATCTTATTCCAACAATTCAGTATATTAATATACGCACACATATATAAAATATACAGAATATAACTATTATAAATATACTACAATAAATAGCCCCACAAAACTTCATAGACAGTTATTTTGGATAAAATGTACGTCATGGTTGTGTGTTCTCACCTCAGTCCTGTGTGCGGGAAAAGTCCTCGAAGTAAGTTCAATCTTAGCCTGCAGTGGCTAAAAAAAAACACACAAAATCTCACTTCAAGGCTTTTTGAAAAATTGGCAGCTCTGATGATCTTTTAGTGAATTTACACTGATTTAGCTAAAGCTGAAACAACAGAAACTGTCTCTTAGCTGTAAAACAAATACAAACGAATATATAACCGAATATATATACAGATTAATCACACTGAACTGGATTGCGTACCACGTGCCCAGGAGGACGACATAGTATTGGTGCTAGCTAACGTTAGCTAAAACGGACATCAATACAGACCATAAAACATGATCAAACATATCACTAACTTAATAAAAGCATGGCAAGTTTAGACAAAGACCACTAACATCCAAAATAATAAAACTAGCCACACCATGCATGTATATTTAAAGTAAATTAAACATTGACCACAGACACTCGTAAACACGTCACCTCATGGCAAATCCTCAATAGCGCAGTGGATTACCCACAATTCTAATTCTTCTTCTTCTTCTTCTTCTTCTTCTTCTTCTTCTTCTTCTTCTTCTTCTTCTTTGTTTTATGGCGGTAGGCAAACAACTTTAGGGTCTCTAAGGTTAGCCCAATAGACCAAGTGCCAACTCATCTCTTCAAATATGCAAAGGCATTTCTACCATCTCCACTTGGAGTGCTGCCACTGGAGTACTTTTTATAGCTCCACAACATAACCCCAATGCTTTACTCTGGATTACATTCAACTTCTTTAAGTGGGTTATTGCTGCAGACCTATAAATTATACAACCATAGTCTATTATTGATCTAATTAGGTTAGTATAGATTGTTCTCATCGCAGATCTATTTCCTCCCCAATCCAGCCCTCTCAAACACCTCATCACATTCATCATTTTCTTGCATTTGTCTATCATCTTATTTATATGGACTGACCAAGTTAGTCTTTTACTCTGGAGACCATCTTTAGACTTTGCTCACTGCTTGCTCCATTTTGCACACAATATAGTTAAGGTTCCTCCCCCTTTTCCACATAGCGCCATCATCTGCAAACAGCGCTACCTTTATTGATCCTTTCATATTTTTAAAAACATTTTTAATCATGACCATAAATAACACTGGACTAATAATACTGCCTTGCGGCGTACCATTTTCTACTGTATACTCATTACTAAAAGCGTCATTAATTCTTACCACTATTTTCCCACCAGAAACAAAATTCTTTATCCATTGAAGCATTCTACCTTTAACTCCCATCAGATGGAGCTTGATAAGAAGGCCCTCCCTCCACACCATCTCATAGGCCTTCTCAATATAAAAAATATGGCAATAATTGACTCCTTATTTACCTGCGCCTTTCTAAGAGAGTCTTCACGCAATCCTTTCCGTCTCTTGGTCCGTTTAGGTACCGGAATGTTTCAATGGAGCTTTAGTGTTAAGGCTCATTAGTTAGTTTTCAGCTTTTTAGTTTTTATTGAAGTATCTAGATGATGATAGGAATGCTCTTTAAGTTTTATGTTTGGCGTGGCACTGTACGCGTCGAACGGGGTTCATGTTTATATCTTTGAAAGCATCATTTCTGACAGCCCCTGAACGCAACATCACAGCTCGCTAATTTGTCCTGAAGTCTTCTCTGGTAAGTAGCATTGAGCACCTCTGCTCACGGCTCATTATTTGAATGGTTTAGATTACGTTTTAGCATTTTAAAACGGCATCATAATGTTTCTTTAACTCATGCCAAACATAAACATAAAGAGAAAAGTTGAAAATCCCCCCTGTATGGCATAAGCACGAACCCGTGACTAACACTAGCATAGCAGCTAACACGGACTTCCCCCTTTTTCTCTGTAAAAGTTTATTGTAACGGTTATAAAGGGATGAAACAGCTAATTAGGTCGCTAGCTAGCTAACACATTTGTCAGTTACCATGTCTTAGTCTTAGTGTCAGTCAAGCTTTCGCGTTAGCTTAATCCCGTTAGCATAATGCTAAAGCCGTTATGAGGGTACTCAATCCCTGTTAGATTTCTGTACGGTTAGCTAACGTTAGCCAATTTCAATGCATTTATGAAACCTCTAAAACCAAATCATTGTTTTCATTAACTCAACTAACTTCAATCAAGCTGAGAAATGTTAAAATGCAAATAAATAAACCAACATCAGCATAATTAGCTCTAGTAGCCTGCTAGGCGCTAGCTGAGGCTAACCATTGACTTGAGTAAGAACGAGCTCATTTATGTCATAAATACTGTGGGTGCTTGTCTAAGGCATGTCTGTGTTTTTTATCTGTTTTTATTTATTTATTGTATACATATTTATTTTATGTATGACTGAGATTGACTTTAATCTGGGTTGTCATGTTATATCAGCAATATTTAAACTGCAGTAATCTACTTCTGTAATTACTTTTTTTAAAACGCGGCAACGTAAAACTTACTACAAGTTTGTCTTATTGTTTCCTCTCCTAGACAACAGAACATCGATCATCTCCTCTGTGGTTAGTAAGTATAGTAATATTGTACCTGAAATTGATAACAGGCCACATAACTGTTTAGCATCTGGATGCTTTTTTCAATTGTTGATTTATTTTGTTGTTTATCTTATTTAATGAACAGTTGTTTGGGCTTTAAAATATTAGACAATTGTGAAAACGTCATGCAAAAGTCTCCCAGGATTATGTCCTTGTGTTTTGCCCATAAGTCAGAGAGATTCAGTTTACTCTCATAGAGAAGCAAAGCAATCAGAAAATATTGCATATTGCAGCCGGAATCAGAGAATTTAACTTCATTCGTCAATGAATAGCAACATCTTGAATGCTGTGTACCATAGTGCTATAGATTTGCACATCTTAAATCCTTCAGAAGCAATGACAGCAATCAAAGGTAAACAGTTTAGTCTTGTTAGCAAGACAGTTAGTATTACCACACAGCTCAGTTTCACACTGCAATATACAATTATCTTCCTAGAAAAACGTCACTTTGGAATGAGATGGATAATACATGAAGTAATAACTTGAGACATTTATAATGAATAGAATAATGACTTTTGAACGAGACAGTGATTTTAAATAAGGACATACAGAGTCCACCTGAAATAACTTTTAATTCAAATAAGCAATGAGGTTGCTTTTTAAAATGTAACTGAGAATGTCTCTTTTTTTTTTTCTTCTCTCCATCCCTCACCCTCCTTGGACTCTTCCTGGACTCCTCCTTTTTGTGTTTAACTGCAGAACCTCACTGCTGGTGAATTATTGCTGACACTGAGCTGTGAGTGGATTCATTACTGATTCATTATGATTTTGCTATAGCTCAACTGACGTTACATTGGTTTACAGTTTAGACCACCTTCCACCACAATATTTTGTCTCTACAAGAATTACATCTTTGTCTTGCATCCTCAACAATAAATGACCCAATCACGACAACAATGTGTTCTACAGTAAAATTAAATGTGACTCATGGGTTTCAGAGAAGAAATTAAACATAATTTATTTCTCTCTTCCCACTCAGAAGTGGCCTAGTCTTCCCTGTCTACTCCACTTTGGACGTCTTGGTGATCTGACAGTAAGTTCCCAGATGAGTCAAAACACATAGTAAAGTTGAAGTGAAACACTGATGCCCAAGACCGACCGTGACTGTGGAAGTGACATGGACTGTAAAAACAATCCTGTGACAGTGTATTGATGTAATACTAGCCTCTTACTGTTTTAATGTCTATATCTGGAGATATTTCACAGGCAGGAAACAAGTATTTAACTCAACTCTTAACATAATAATAAAAGCCTGCTAACATTTTTTTGTCAAAAGCATCCCATCATTTGTTAAAACACATTTTATTCTGAAATATTTGCAGTATAGTGTAGGAAAATGCAATAACTTTGAAAAAAGTACCGGCCTTTAATATTAAGATTATTTTTTCTATTTATTAAGGAGCTTCTTAACCCGTTAGTTTAATGTTAATATGAATGTATAATATATTATACTGTTTAATTATAGTAATTATAAGAGAACAATTAGAAAGAAGTGCTGGCAGTAGCAACAACACTGTGTGCAAACTACTTGTGTGAGAAACACAGGGAGTGTGGTCCGGCCTTGAGGTGTCTTAATCCAGCCAAATTAATAAACGCATTTAAGAACAACTTTTAAATATTATTACATGGGTTTATGATCTGGTCATTTAACTAGAAACCTTCAGTGATCTTTAAGCTTACAGTAGAGGTTACTCAGTTTGTTGTTCGACCTGCTGTCTAATGCATGTTTTATTGTGTCTTACAGGTGTCCTGCTGGCCAGCATCTCTCCTCTATCATAAACGCTCTCTGTCTATCCTATACCTTCTATCCACTCTGTCTCATTATTGGAACCTCTATCTATCCTATCACATCTACCGCTCTGTCTTTGATATCCACAACTCTATCTTTGTATCCCCCTTCTATCCACTCTGTCTCATTATTGGAACCTCTATCTATCCTATCAAATCTACCGCTCTGTCTACAATATACAATTCAGGTTACTAATACCTGATCTAACCACATAACGTTGGTTACCCTTTATTACAACAACCTCACAAGTACCTGATCCATCTTTTGATGAACAAACTCTGCTGAACCACATTACGTTGGTACCCTTTGTTACAACAACCTCAGGTTACAAGTACCTGTTCTACTAGATCTACTATCAGATTATCCTCTTTTAATCTTCTATCTACACGCAATAGAATACGATTACTATCTACAAATTGGGCAAAGCTTTTGGAATAAACTGAGTCTGTTTTAGTCAGAATTAGTTTGAACGTAAAATTGGAAAAAAGGTTAACAGGATATTTATACACATAGCACGGTTTCTTTAATTGAATATCACTAGATATATTAGCAAAATTATTGTTTACTTTATTTAAAATCTTTTTCATATACACATACATTGTTTAAGTGTCCAAGTGTTTTGTTGTTAAACTTTTCATACTGAAATAAAATACAAGCATCTGTCAGAATTGGATTTATTTGACGTTTCCTGTCTGCAGACCCAACGTTCTTTTGGAGCATTCATCTGCCATCAAACTCACACCACTGTTCCTGGTTTTGAATATAAACTAGTATAACATAGTATTCATATTGTATTTAATATCTTGGTTTTGTACGACAACATTTGTGGTTTTGAAACATCAACAATGCCAAGGAAGAGTAAGAGGTCACAAGATCAGAGCCTGCGCTGGCAGCGGCCCAATGAGAATCCCTGTGCAACAACGACTGAAGGAGCAGAATGTGTTGGTCCTGAGAGCAGTGAAGAGGTAAAGATGTCTGCAGAGTGTAAACGTGTGGAGCAGGAAGGTCAGCCTGATGCTTCATGTGCACCACCACCATCTTATGCAGATGCTGTAAAGAGAGGACAGCACAGTGATGATCCATGTGTAGCAGGACCTTCTAATGTGAAGTAGGTAAACCTAAGAGGTCAAGGTGATGAGTCATGCGTACCACAGGTATCTAATGCAGAAACTATAGAGCGAGGACAACCCATTAAAGAACCATGTGCAGCAGGATCTTCTAATGCAGACCGTGTAGACCCTGGAGATCAGTCTTCTGAACAACATGTCCGTGCATCCCACAGCCAGGCTTCTATCAGATACGGCAGATCCAGGAATCGGCAGTGCACCTGTAACTCACTGACCTTTCTTGCATTCCTCCATGAGAATGAAAGCATCACCAGAGCAGACCTGGACCATGTTTTGGATAAAGGTAACACGATGTATAGAGAGACCAGGAAACAAGTCACTAATCACATCTATCTGACCACCGACGAGCTCACTGATGAAGTTCCTGCACGCAGCGCTACACACTATGCAGACATGACTCAGCTTTCAAGGTACGGCACATTAGGAGAACCTTTACCTGGATCTGTGGACAGCTTTCTGGACCTGGAGTCAGGACTCAGCTGCTTGTTGTCAGATGTGAAGTACGCTCTGCTGTTGATGAGACTCTTGTGTATCGCAGTGTTCAGAACCAAGTCGGGCAGATACGGTTTCTTTGACCCACACTCCAGAACAGCCAGAGGTTTGCCCCTACCAGCCGGTTCACGCACACCAGGTACTGCTGTCATGGTGACATTCTCACGTCTCAGTGACATGATTGACAGACTCAAGAAGTCCCACAGAATGATGGACACACAGTCCTCCTGTAACTATGAGTTAAAGCCTGTGGAGTTCTACAACATGAACACAGTCAACCTGAACGATGGTCTCCCAAACACAGACTGCAGACCTACAGCTGTCCCTGTGGATGAATCAAACTCACCTACAGCCACTGATCAGAACAGTTCACCAGAAATGACTCCTCACACTCCAGCTGTAAATCAACCAGAGGTCTTCATCACAACATCATCACATGACGCTCCTCACACTGAATCAGAATCAACAGCTCAAGAGATAAACCTCAGTGATCCATCTGACGACATATTGACAGCAGAGTCCAGTGACATCATCTTTACATCATCGGTGAGACAACAAGAGGTCATAAACTCCAATGAACCAGAACTGTCAAGTCAATCCACTTTCCTTCCATCACACGATGCTTCTCTCAATGAACCAAATATTTCTTCTTCAGTAGAAAATACTGTTGCCAGTGATCTGTCTGATGTTCTATTACAGGGAATCTCATGCAAACTAACAAAGTGTGATAAAAACAACAGGAGAAAAATAAAGAGAAGACTGATGATCTCAGTGAAAACTCAACAAAGAAAAGAGATTCAGAAAAGGAAAGAAAGGGAAAAATATGCTTCAAATAAAGCGTATAAAGCAGACAAGATATCTCATGCAAAAAGGCAATACCCGAACAACCCTCAATTTAGACAAAAGAAAATAAATAATACAAGAGACAACGTTGACTTCAAGCAAAAACAAAAAGAGTACATTTCCTCCCGGTACAGAAAAGATGCTGATTTTAGACAGAAAAAAAAAAAAATCTTGGTCTCTCGTTACAGAAATAATCCTGAATTTAGAGAGAAACAAAAAAAAATCTTGGTCTCTCGTTACAGAAATAATCCAGAATTCAGAGCGAAACAAAAACAGAACTTTACGGACCGCTACCGAGACAATGCTGAGTTTAGAAAGGAAAAAAAACTGTACTTCACTGCTTTTTATAAAAACAGCATTGATTTTAGACAAAAGATGAGATCTCATATTATTCAGCGTTACGCTCATGACCAGGCATTCAGGCTCAGACACAAACAACTAATGAAACAATGAATGAAAGACAGATACAAAAACAATCCTACATATAAGAGTATGCGGAACATGAGATGTGCCATGAAAATAAAAAGGAAATACAGACAGATAAATAAACCAACAGAAGAAAGTGACAACAGTTTGATCCAAGAGGCCATATATGTTTTCAGGTCACAAATAAAGTCCGGTCCCACTTATGTTTGCACCGTCTGTCACAAAGCATCATTTCCAAACCAAGTGAAACCCTGTAAAAGGTTAAACTATGTACGAAATCCAGACGTGGTTGCAGCATGCCTGACAGGAAAGTACGTCCATGTGTGTGATGATGAGTGCAGAGATGAACAGCAGTGCAATGTGCCTGATGAGAGAAAGGAAGAGTGGATCTGTCACACCTGCCACAATCATCTTAAAGATGGAGTCATGCCGACACTCGCTGTAGCCAACAACTTGGAGCTCGCTGACATTCCACCTGAACTGTGTGACCTCAACATATTGGAGAGACATCTCATAGCCAAGTGCATAGCGTTTGCAAAGATCGTTCCTCTTCCCAAAGGACGCCAGAGAGCGATACATGGCAACGTGGTTTGTGTCCCGTCTGAGGTGCAGGAAACAGTGGAAGCGTTACCCAGACTGAGAAGTGAGTCTCAAGTGATGAGAGTAAAGCTGAAGAGACGATTGTGTTACAGAGGACATCAGCTGTTCCAGACTGTCACCTGGTCTAAACTAGTGCAGGCGCTGCATATACTCAAACGCATCCATCCACAATATCAGGACATCACTATCAGAGATGAGGCCGAGCTTTGTGACCCAACACTTCCTGATGAAGATGATAATGATGATGATGATGATGCCACTATGGATGACAACGACTATGATGATGCTGATTTAAAGGAAATTGACATGTGTGAGATATGTGCACTGTGTGAGACAGAAACTGAGCTTGATGGAGAGCAGGATGTTGACATGTTGTCTTGTGATGGTGAACAACCAGAGCAGCAGAGAGATGATGAAGAACAGGAAGGTGAAATGCCTAACGGTGGTTTTGCCCTAGAATCATGTCTTCAGCCGTGTGATGTTTCAGAGGAGATCTTATGTTTCAGTGAAGGAATCTACTCGGTTGCCCCTGCAGAAAGTAACAGTCCAGTTGGTTTCTTCAAGACTCCTAAACTTGAGGCGATGGCTTTCCCTGTGCAGTTCCCTACAGGCCAAAACACACTGGATGAAGGGAGACGTATGAAAGTAACACCCAGCAGTTATTTCAAAGCGAGGCTCTTCTGTGTTGATGATCGTTTTGCCAGAGATACAAACTACTTGTTCTTTGCTCAGTTTGTGACTGAAATACACTTGGCCACATCCAGCATGACGATACAGTTGAGGAAAGGAAAGCCAATGACTCGAGATGGACAAAAAATAACGTCTGGTATGTTGCAAAACAAACGAGAGGTAGAGAAACTGGTGAGGAACAAAGATGCAGTCAGATTCATGCAGCCGCTGAGAGGAACACCAGCCTACTGGGAGAAAACCACACGAGACCTTTTTGCCATGATCAGACAGTTGGGAACTCCCACATTCTTTTGTACATTTTCTGCAGCTGAGATGCGTTGGCCTGAAGTGATTGAGGCAATAAAAAGACAGCAAGGTGAGGAGGTGAACTTTGAAGGGCTCGACTGGTCAGCAAAGTGTGACATTCTGAGAAGCAACCCTGTAACAACAATGCGCATGTTTGATAAGCGTGTTGAGGCCTTATTCAGAGATGTGCTCTTATCTCCTGCACAGCCTCTTGGCAAAGTCGTTGACTACTTTTACCGAGTTGAGTTTCAGCACAGAGGAAGTCCACACATTCACTGTCTCATATGGGTAGAAGGTGCACCTGTGTTTGAGGAGGATGATGATCAGACTGTGTCAGCTTTTGTTTCCAAATACTGTACATCACAGCTCAGCTACCTGACCAACTCACACAACCTGAACTGTACAAGAACGTCACAGAGGTGCAAATACAATGCACCTCTCACCACCTTCAATGGCAGGAACACTTTCAGACAATCACCCTGACTGAGATTATGCGGCAGAAGGATGATGTTGCCTTTGCAGAGATGTTGAACCGGATCCGTGTGAAAGGAAAGTCAGATGAGTTGTCTCAAGCAGACAGAGCCTTGTTGTCACAGACCATTACTGAACCATCACTTTGTCCACCTGATGTCCTGCACATCTTTGCAACTAATAAACAGGTTGATTCACACAACTCAGTAACATTAGCTCTGCTCCATTCTAATATCACCAAGATCGATGCAGATGACTACAAGAATGACCCACGAACTGGAAGAATGGCTCGACAAGCCCAACCATACAAAGGAACCAGAAATGAGTTACCAGACACACTAAACGTAGCTGAAGGTGCTCGAGTCATGCTCACCAGAAACATAGACGTGTCTCAGGGATTGGTGAATGGATCGTTTGCTACACTAGTCAGGGTAATAACCGCAGAACAGAGTGGTGTTGCACATGTCACTATGCTCGGGTACGCAGACAGTTTCCTGTTAGACTTGCTGTAGAAGCCATTCCACTACATTGGTATTGTGCATAATGAAACTGCCTTTTCTGTTGATTTATTTGTGATGATGTAATGATGACGTCAGGGGGCGTCGGCTATTTAAATGTCACCTGAGTAAGGCCAGGGGTGTTTTCTATTTTGAGAGCGGAAGGAGATACTATTTTTGACCGCATTACCCATTACGCATTGAATTCTCCGTTTATTAT